CTTCCCATTCTGCACCGTGTACTTTATGGCAGTGCTGGGGAACATCACACTCCTCCTGGTGATTAGGATGGACCCAAACCTGCACTTGCCCATGTTTTACTTCCTCTCCATACTGGCTGCTATTGACCTCCTGCTCACCACTTCCACCGTGCCCAAGCTCCTGAGCATCTTCTGGTTCCAGTCCCATGAGATCACATTTGAGGGCTGTGTGGCCCAGATGTTCTTCATCCACAGCTTCTCCACAGCAGAGTCAGGGGTCCTGCTCGCTATGGCCTTGGACAGATACTTGGCCATCTGCAAGCCCCTGCACTATTCTGCCATCCTGACCGGCCCCACCATTGCCAAGCTGGGTCTGGCTGCTGTGGTACGCGGCATTGTGATCATCACCCCTCTGACATGCATGGTGACCACCCTGTCCTACTGCGGCCCCCGTGTCATTCCCCACTCCTACTGCGAGCACATGTCCGTGGTGAAGCTGGCCTGTGGGGACACCCGGCCCAACAGCATCTATGGGATCACGGCTGCCACCATCATCGTGGGCTTGGACTCCATCCTCATCGCTGTCTCCTACGTGCTGATCCTGAGGGAGGTCACAGGCCTCTCCTCCAGGGAGGCTCATCTCAAGTCTTTTGGCACCTGTGGCTCCCACATTGGAGTCATCCTGCTCTTCTACCTGCCGGGGCTCTTCTCCTTCTACACTCAGCGCTGGGGCCAGAGCATCCCCGCACACCTCCGCATCCTGGTGGCTGACCTCTACCTGCTGGTGCCTCCCATGCTCAACCCTCTCATCTATGGGATGAGGACCAGGCCGATCCAGGAGCGGGTGCTGAGCCTGCTCTGGCAGAAAGGGATCCAGCCTCCAGCCCAGGTCCTGACCTCAGCCCATCACTAATTCCAGGTGGCAAGGAATGGGGTTTGGACCAGGGAATGACGGCAGCAGGATGGTCCCTTCCTCATCTTGGCCAAACTCTGAAAGCTGGAGGCACCACAGAAAGTTTGACTGGTGAAACATTCTTTTTAGCAAGTGAATTCTATGTTCCTGTTCATAAGGGAAAGATAAATAATATCTATTGTGTATCACCTCAGTTCTGTATCACCTCATGACTCTCCATCTCGGCTCTTGATAAAAGACTGTTTCCACTTTGGGTTCCTTGTGCATTCATCCTCCCCAGGTACCCTTGTCACCCAGTCTGTAACTCTCCATTTAGTCACTTGATTCACATTTATTCACTAGTTTTTAGCAGCTGCCTGATCTTGGTGCCTGGCTATGAGGGAGGAGTGGGGGCTGTGCACACGTACACACACTCATCCTGATATATTGGCCTAAACAGTGTTTTCCTCCCAGTCCTGTCTCAAAGCCTTCCTGAAGCATCTGCAGCAGTCACAAAAAGCAAGCTCGCTTGAGAACAGGGTCTCCAGGTCACACTGAAGCCCTGCAGGATCACATGAAGTTTTGCTCCTTTCTTCTTAGGAACACCAAAACAGCATCAGTCATAAAACGTCTACAGGTTTCTTTTCCCCCAATATTTTAATGGGACTCCCTAACGTTCTGTGCTGTGTCTCTCCCCTAAGCAAACAAGCACCTGTAATGAAATTTTGAGAAGCTCCAGTTTGGAGCTCCAGCCTGGAGGTGAGGAGCAGGAGTGTGGATTAGAGACAGAGAGCAAAGATCAGGGACTAAGCTCCTCTCGTTCTCCTCAGCAAAAGCTGTGCCTGAATTTAGCTACAATGAAAACTCCTCTCGTGACACCACACACGGACCCAGCTCTCCTTGTGCCTTCAGCCCATGGAAATCAAGGCATGGGAGGCTGGTCTGAGGTCCTGCGTGTGTCCTGCACTGAGCTAGAGGGAAAAAGGAGGGATAAAGGAGCTGTTGTGAACACCAAACCAAGCTGATAGGTACAGACTCAATTCTTTCAGTGTCTCCTGACCCAGCTGCCTTTGGGTGCCTTCTGGACTATGTACAGCTGTATCCCCACCAGCAATACCCCCCCTGGACAACAGTACAAACTACACACTGCCCATCAACTGAAATACAGCACAGATTGTCCTGCCTGACATGGGCACCAGACCCTTCCAAACCAAGTCTCAGGGTCCTGGTCCAAGCTGGGCCTTGGAAGCACCAGTGGTAGGTGCATTGCTTGGAGCCTGCCAGGCAGTGGATCTATTCTCCAGTTATAGGATTTGCCTCCACTGCAGTGCCTGATGCTGACCAGGTAAGATGCACTGCTCCCAGTATCACCCAATCACCCCCTTCCCTTGGGCATGAATCCAGGCTTGGTGCAGTTCTTCCCATTCCCTTCAGGGAAGCACACCACTGCTTTGCTTTCATACAATCATGGAATGGATTGGTTGGAAGGGACTTGAAAGCTCCCAGTGCCTAAAGGGGCTACAAGAAACCTGGAGAGGGGCTTTGGACAAGGGATGGAGGGACAGGCCAAGGGGAATGGCTTGAACCTGCCAGAGGGGAGACTGAGATGAGCTCTGAGGCAGAAGCTCTTCCCTGGGAGGGTGCTGAGGCGCTGGCACAGGGTGCCCAGAGAAGCTGTGGCTGCCCCATCCCTGGCAGTGTTCAAGGCCAGGTTGGACACAGGGGCTTGGAGCAACCTGCTCTAGTGGAAGGTGTCCCTGCCTAGGGCAGGGGTTGGGGCTGGAGGAGCTTTGAGCTCCCTTCAGCACAAACCAGGCTGGGATCCACGATCAGTAGGCATCACTCTCACCTATGAACTGCCTGATGCAACCAAGGCTCAGGACCTGCTGTGAGATCCCACCTCCCTGCCTCAGATCTTGCACAAACACTGTTTGGGGATTCAGGAGACATCCCAGTTGCTCTGTTGCTTCTGAGTGCAGACAAGAGTGGAAACCCAGAGTTTCCAAAGCATTTTGCTCTCTCTGGCACAACCAAAGGGCTTTTTCTCCACTTCAGATGGATTTCTCCAGTTTACATTCTGTGCATCGGCCTCATGGGCACCGCCGGGCTCTGGAGAGCACCATCGCCCTGAGACCCAGCAAGGTGACACTGAGGGGGAGTGGTGATGACAGAGGCTGGAGCACTGTTGACGATCTCCATGTCCTCAGAGGACAAACAACCTGATCTCTGCCTCTTCTGCCTGCTGTCCCTTAGGGGATTTCCAGAGGCTGGATTAATATGCACGTTGCTGCACACAGAGATGTACTGCTGCAGGTGACAGCCCTACATGTGAGACAGGTACCTGTGCTCATCCTTCCCCTGACACCAGGACCAGAACCTTGGCTTAGGCTGCAGAGGTCCTCTGTGCTGCTTTTCCCTCTGCCAGGTCGCCACATCCCATGATCAGGGCTCTTCAGTGTTGCTGCCACACCGAAAACCCTCCTGAGCCAGGCCCTGGTGCAGGAGAGAACTTGTAGAAGCAAACACACTCTTGCCTTGGCTGTGGGCACCCGAGGCTCTGGATTCAGACACACATCAATGCCTGGAGGTAGGTGGCAACAGATGTCTGTGTGCATGAGTGCACGATGTCTAAGACACAGCTTCTCTGGGCACCCTGTGCCAGCGCCTCAGCACCCTCACAGGGAAGAGCTTCTGCCTCAGAGCTCATCTCAGTCTCCCCTCTGGCAGGTTCAAGCCATTCCCCTTGGCCTGTCCCTACAGGCCCTTGTCCAAAGCCCCTCTCCAGGTTTCTTGTAGTCCCTTTAGGCACTGGAAGCTGCCTGTTGCTCCACTGTCTCTACTTGGATGCCTCCAGCCACTTGGGATGCTCCCAGGTACGCAAGGAATCCATGTGGGAGATGCAGACCATCACTAGAGTCCCAGTTCACACACACGTAGCTCAGAAGGTAAGTGCTTCTGTCCTGACCAGGCTTTCCAGCCAGCAGCTCCTGCAGCAGCTCCAGACCTGGGGCTGAGCCATAGTTCAATAGAGGGTTCAAAGCCCACAAAACCTGTTGCTCTGTTTGAAAACTTCAGATGCTGTTTTCTCAGTTGCCTCCCAAAATCTTCTTGATTCCTCCCACCCTGGAGCTCTCTCCCTGCTGCTTCCACTTCTGCCACACTGGCCATGACTAGTGTTAATTTTAGCCTAAATGACCCTGTTGTGGGGCTTTTCACATGTGAATCTTACTCCATGCTGTTCCTTGGCATGGGACTCATCAGCCAGGGGCTGCCCCACACTTGCTGCTCGCTATGAAGCTGCTGGTGGATGATCATCCAGGCAAGGGCAGGGGCCTGGGGTGGTCACCACCTGCCTGGTCCTGGCCACTGTGTGGGGAGAAGCAGCAGAAGCAGGAGCACAGTTTGGGCACAAATGACTGGGCAGATGCTGCCCACCATGCTCAGGCTCTTCTCCTTGTCTCCCCAAGGTTGTTCCCTGGAGTTTCTCTATAACCTTCAAGCTTCTCCCATCAGAATAAAACCTCAGGAATTAATCTTTTCCTCTTACTACCACTGAGTTTTGCAGGTTTCCCTCATGGCTGAAGGACAGAATGAAGACAGAGCAGCAAAGGCCATTTCATGATCACATTTATCACCCCAGAGCACTTTCAGACACCACTTTTTGCTTTACAGATCTGGAGGAACTGCCTATGCTGTGCCCGTCGCAGGAACCCGGCTGCTCCGGCACAAGCACTGTCTGAAGGAAGCTGGATGCTGACCTGTTTCTCTCCTCTTGCAGCTCATTCCAAAGTGTCAGCTGAGCAACCAACAAAGAAATGAGCCTTTCACAAGCAACAGACTGTAACAGCCCCTTGGTTATCCCTGGTGGCACCCCTTGAAATACAAACTTCTTCACCTTATAGGGTCTTTTGAGCCATAACATCCCATTTATTCACCATTTCTGACCCATTCCCCCCTGCTCCTCATATTCTGCTGTCGTGCTCCCGTATCATGCAAGGGACTAAGGGTTTGGAATCCTGACGTGGCTCTTGCACTGTTGCACAGTGCCCACATTTCCTGCTTTGGTTGTGGACATCGCAGGGCTCATACTGGGCTCCCTTTGTTTAAGCACAAAGCCACATTCTCCTGCATGGCTCCTGATCCCTCCAACAGCAGCTCCTCCTCTTTCATCCTTGTGGGCGTCCCCAGCCTGGAGGCGTTCTCCACCTGCCTGGGCATCCTTTTCTGCTCAGCCTATATCATCGCCTTGCTAGGAAATGGAGTAGTGTTGCTGGTCATTGGGCTGGACAAGTCCCTGCGGGAGCCCATCCACTGCTTCCTGGCCATGCTGGCGGTGGTTGACGTGGTGATGGTGACATCCGTCGTCCCCAAGATGCTGAGTGTGCTCTGGCTGAACTCCACTGAGATCGGTGGCACGGCCTGTTTTGTTCAGATGTTCCTTGTTCACTCCACCACGTCGGAGGAGTCGGGAGTGCTCCTGGCCATGGCTGTGGACCGCTACATGGCAATTTGTCACCCCCTCAGGTACCGAGCCATCCTGAGTTACCAAACCATTGCCCACACAGGCCTGGCTATTGCGGTGAGAGCCCAGCTTTTCATGGTGCCTTTAACATGGATGGTGACCAACCTCCCCTATTGCCATTCCCATGTGATTCCCCATTCCTACTGCGAGCACATGGCTGTGGCCAAGCTGGCGTGTGCAGACCCCAGACCCAGCAGGCTTTACAGTGTGGCTGGGTCCTCTCTCATAGTGGGGATGGACGTGGCTTTCATTGCTGCTTCCTACAGGATGATCCTTAACACTGTCCTGGGGAAGCAATCATGCTGGAAGGCGCTGAGCACCTGCGGGTGTCACATCTCTGTGATGCTGCTCTATTACATCCCTGGCATTGTCTCCATCTATGTGCAGCAGTTCAGCAGCACCATGCCCGTGCCTGCACAGGTTCTGCTGGCTGATCTCTACCTGACCATCCCCACCATGCTCAACCCCATCATTTACAGCATGAGGACCAAGCAGATCCGTGGGGCTCTGCTCAAAACGCTCTTTTCCAGGAAGCTTCAGGCCTGACACAGGGATGGTGGTTTTCCAGGTGTATCCATCCCTGCAGAGACAGCACCAGTTTCATTCCCGTTGAGTGCACACAGTGAACAGAAGCAATGAGAGGAGGAGGGAGAACCTCCATAAGCACGATTCCCTATTCTCTGGTGAGACTTATTGGGGACTGGGAGCATCAGTAAAGATGAGGTTCTATTTCCCCTCCCTCTTTCCAGGTCATATAGAGAAGTAAGAACCACCTTTGAGTTTCGAGATGTTCCTGATGCCGTGAACATCCCTATGATATTTAGATGACATTTCAGGGCCCCAGGTATATTTGTATCAATACATACATTCCATTCCAAATGGAGAAATGCCTCCTATGTTGTCTTCTCAGTCCCTGCTGGACTATCAGGGCCAGCAACAGGAGACTGTCACCCACTGCAGATGTGATGCCCACAGAGGTTCTCCTCCCTGGGCCTCTCTGACACAAAGTGCTGACCCTCACTGAGCACAGAGCAGCTTCTCCAGGTTCTTGGGTGATGATGGAAACCGAGCATCCTTGGAACTGGGCTCTTCAAAGTGTTCTGTCCATCCAGCACTTCACGCCATCAGGGTGCAGAAGACGGAGTGGGGAGATGCTCAGTGGGGTCTATCTCTGTGTCCTGGTGGCCACAGCTTGGAGTGGTGGAAATAAACACTGAGTCTGTTTGGAGATACTCACCAGTCCTGTGTCTGCTTGTGGTAACGACCAAAAGTACCTGAACAGCAAAATCCAGCCTGCTTGGAGGCCTGGAGCACAGTGTGCCATAGGTCTGAGCGTCCTGAGCCCAGGTAGCTCTTGCTGCTGGTAGACCTGCTGCATCCCAGGCATCTCTGAGCCCCCTCTGAGCCAGCCAGCTATGTCCAACCAGGATCCACAGGCTCCATGCAGGGGGTGCAGCACCCAACCCTGCTGAGACCTCTCTGGAGCAACCTGCTCTAGTGGAAGGTGTCCCTGCCCATGGCAGGGGTTGGAACTGGAGGAGCTTTAAGGCCCCTTCCAACCCAAACCAGTCTGGGTTTCTATGATTGCCCAGTTGTTGTGCCAGGGTTATGTGACAGCTCCCATTAGGATGTTTAAGATATGCAAGTGATGAAATAGAAATAGAGAGAATTCAGCAGAAGTGAATGGCTTTGTCTCAGAGGTGCTCATTGTCCTCTTCTTGAGGAGAGGACCCATGACCCCGCTTGGGTCTGAGAGTGGCAAAAGAGCAAAGGGTTGAACCTGGGAGACCGTGTCCATTAACACAAGGATTCAGAAGAAAAGCATTCAGAGATGGTGTGTTTCCTCCCACAGCAAGGGAGTGGGACAACCCCCATCCTCCTCAGACACACTCAGGACAGAGTTCCTTATGGTCACCACCACCTCCCTTCCATCATGGCATTGAAAGAAGCGGGTGCAGCACCATTCCTCTGCCCTGTTTCAGGTGCCAGCTTTAGGCTGGGATGAATATTGCCCTAAAATCACTGAGTCCATGGATATGAAGACAACCTGGAGGACTAGCTCCAGCCATGGACTGACACCATAACAGCCACCCGTGTTTGTGCAGGTGAATCCCACCCAAAATGTCATGTTTAGTCTTCATTTCTGCAGTATTTTAAAAATTAAACTCAGTGAAACACCATCAGCTTCAAAACAGGTTTGAAAGTGTCAGTGCTCACACCAGAAACATTTTTTCCTGTCTTTGTGGTGTTTATCTGACTTTCTGCTGGACTTTTCCTGACATCTTGAGAACAGCTTTGACAGAATGTTTGTGCTACCTTGAAACTGCTTTTTACTGTAGAGAAATTGCACATTTCAACCTTATGCTGGTTGAAATGGGAGCCTGGTGGGGGCAAGGACAGTTCATGCGCTTCGTACTGAGAGATGGACAGTTCCTGCTTCAGCACAGCCAGAAATGAACCTGCCCGTGCACTGCTCCAGGCAGAAACACAAGGAAGGTCTTTCACTGCGCTGGAGACAACTCCTGCAGCCGATTCCTTCCTGACTCGGTCATCTTCTGACACCCACCACTCGGAAAGGAAATGAGATGAGAGAGAATTGGCCTGGGACTAAGGCTGTTACCCTCCAACCCCCCCACTGAGGTCATTACAGAGGGTGCCTGGAGAGGGATCCGGATGCTCTTGGGAATCTCCATCCAGGAGGCTCCCAGCGGCATTGCCTGGGGTGATTTATGCACAGCCCTGGAGCCCTGCCCTGGCACACAGGAGATGTTTCCTTGCTTCTTGGTGTGAGCATCCTCGAGGGTGGCAGCAAGCACAGAGCAAGGTGGGTGCCTTGGCAGGACGGGCATGAGCCAGGGCATAGCTCCGGGTGCCAAAGGATGGGAGGCTGGTGGGACGTCAGCATCTGCCCTGTTTGATTCCCAGGGTGAGCCAGCTGGGAAAAAGGCAATTGCTGGGAAATCTTTATAAAAGTAGGTTTTTAAACTTTCAAGTTTCTTCTCAAATTAAACTGTGGATCCAAGGCTGCAGAACCCTGGTTTTATAATCATTTTTTAGGTAAAAATAGGACTTGAGTTAGAAAAGTAAACAAGTAGACCCCAACCTTTTAACCAAACCCAGCAACTGCTGCAAAAAAGTCAGCTTGTTTCTGTTTGTATGGATGTATCTGTAACATCCAGCCTGGCCTTGAACACTGCCAGGGATGGGGCAGCCACAGCTTCTCTGGGCACCCTGTGCCAGCGCCTCAGCACCCTCACAGGGAAGAGATTCTGCCTCAGAGCTCATCTCAGTCTCCCCTCTGGCAGGTTCAAGCCATTCCCCTTGTCCTGTCCCTCCATCCCTTGTCCAAAGCCCCTCTCCAGGTTTCCTGGAGCCCCTTTAGGCCCTGGAGCTGCTCTAAGGTCTCCCCTTCAGGAGCCTTCTCTTCTCCAGCTGCCCCAGCCCAGCTCTCTCAGCCTGGCTCCAGAGCAGAGCTGCTCCAGCCCTCGCAGCAGCTCCGGGGCTTCCTCTGGACTTGCTCCAACAGCTCCACATACTTCTTATGCTGGGGGCTTGAAGCACCTGCTCTAGTGGAAGGTGTCCCTGCCCGTGGCAGGGGGTTGGAACTGGTGGAGCTTTAAGGTCATTTCCAACTCAAACTATTCCATGGTTCTGTAGTTCTATGAAGCATTCACTCTGCTGCAGTGGGCAATCCCCCGCTGCCACTGAGGTGTCTGTGATGAGGAGGGAAGGGATGCAGGAGTTGAGGTGGGGAGAGCTCAGATTGAAAGATGTGACAAAGGAGACATAAAGTGTCATGGAAGAGTGCAGGGACCACTCCTTCAACCAGAGGGTTCTGCATCCAGCACTAACTGTGAGGAGTGAAGATGAATTAAACTACAGGGAAGAAAGCTGGTGGCACCATGGACCCTGTGGTGTGACCTCAATGCGCAGTACCGATTTTTCATTGCAGTTCCATTTCCCAGAGCTGGGGGAACTTAAAGGCAGAGGGAATTTAGACAAGGAACCTGCAGAGTAACTTAGGAGGTGTCCTGAACAAGTGCAGCTAATGGCCAAGCTCCACTACGAGCTTGCAGGAAAGGACAGATGTGGTTAGGGAAGGGAATGGAGCATCAGGAGCTGCAGCCAAAGCACAATGGACATGGTGAAATGGGGGAGCTGGCCAGGATCTGATGGGAGTTAGAAGCTGTTAGGTAGAGAAATCAGACAAAAGCAGATGAAGGCATCTGCCTCTCTGCATGGAGAAGAGATATCCATGCTCACCAGAGAGAAAGGCAGCCAGAGAACTCCAGTTTTAACATTAATTTGATTGATTGGTAGCTGAGAAGGATGTTGAATGTTCTGCTAAGAACAGAAAGCAAATAAAGCAGCAGGTCTGCACAAGGGAAAAGCATCTCTGAGTTGGCCGAGGAGGTCTTTGGCCTGTTCTGCCAAACTTCTGTGAGTCCTGGCATGCCGTGGTCACTGCAGACACTTCCTCAGGCCATTACTTTAGCGAGAAGGAGCAATGATGTGATTAGCTGCAGATTGCTCTGCCTGACGTCAATGCCCAGCAGAACGCCCAAGAATTTAACAGGAGATTTGGTCAATAAAGAATTAAAGGATTGGAATCAAATTAAATTAAGGCAATCAAGGTGGATTTGCAGGAAACGGCCCCTGTCAAACAAACCTGATTTCATTTGCTGATGAGACGGCAAGTTTAGTTAATCATCACAGAGTTATCTAACAGCAATGTGTCTCCACCATGCTGCTCCGAGGTGAGGGGCTGACACAGCGCAAGGTCTGTGGATCATCAGCAAAGGGGGTGAAGAGCTGCTTGATCAATAGCCCTCAGGATGAAGCTGTTAGAAGCATCGCCACAAAAAGCTCATGTTTCTGCAGTGATGCCGCAGTGCTGGGCTCCAGACTAGAAGTGATTCTGTGGGACTTTCAACAGTTGTCCCCAGATTCAGCAAATATTGTGTCTTAACTTGCCTTTCCCCAGCATTATTTATGCAGTGCAGCTTAGAGAGACGGGCAGGCTTGGGCCTTCACAGGAACTACCTGCAACAGCTACGTACCAGAATGGGGAACAGAGGCTCTGGCGAACAGCAGACACTGGAGGGTGACACTGGGACCCAAGGGCCTGATTCTGGATGCTTGAGGGACATGGACGAGGCAATATTTTTTCAGGATAGGTGTTGTAATCTTGGAAATGAGCAAAACCCTTCTCAGTAAGACAGAGAGTGGAAGAGGTGAGTGGGGAGGAGAATTTGCAGTGCTCTGGGTCTTTATCAAGAATAACCCCTTAGTCATGGGAAGTACCTACCTTCATGCAATGAAGGGGCCATAAAGGGCTCTTTGGCCAAGCACAGGAGGTAGAGGAGGACGCACAGACTGGGAGAAGCAGACAGGCATTGTCAAATGGGAAGAAAACCACATGGCTACAACTAGCACATGAGGTAAAAGTGAAGAGATGAAGGTTCTCATCTCTGGATGCCACAAGCCTGCACTAGTGCAGTTTCTTCCAGCAAAGCATGTGTTAGCAAATCCCATGTTATAGGGCC